AAGCTCTAACATAGTGCTGGGAATCTAGAAGTCTACACTTGTGTGCAGGGCTGTGCATATGCCCAGAAAATTCTTGAAAAGATCCCAAGATATCACCTCTGGCTGACATTGAGACTCTGTACAAAGAGGAAGTGAAAGCTAAGGCAGAGTTGTAAACTACTGTAACATTAAAGACATGCCTCATAGCACACATAGAGCGTCCCAGTAAAGAGTGTGAAATATATTGATTCAAGACATTTAAGGATATCTCTGTCCAATCATTAGCTGACCACTAAGCTAACACAGAAAGGACTTCAGTGGCTGCACACAACACAGAATACAGACTCTAGAGAATTAGTTCCAGAAAGTTACTAAACAAACAGCAACAATGACAACAACAATAAAAAAAAATCATCAACAATCGTGAATGTGGAGGAATCTAATTTCCAGAGTTGCCACTATATATTATTTAAAATGTCCACTTCTCAAAACTAGTTATGAGATACACAAGAAATGGGAAATTCTGACAAGAAAGAAAGAAGGAAAGAAAAAAGAAAAGAAGAAAGGAAAGAAGGAACGAAGGAAGGAAGGAAGGAAAAAAGAAAGAAAGAAAGGGAGAGATACTTTCCCTGAGGAAGCACAGACATTGTACTTACAAAACAGAGATTTTAAGTCAGCTATTATAAATATGTTAAAAACTAAAGAAAATATGTCCAAAGAATTAAAAGAAAGTGAGACTAATTCTCACTATAAAGAGAATGTCAATAAATATATATATATATGGTAGAAATTCCGGAGTTGAAAAGTACAGTGACTAAAAAGAAACAAATTGACTAGGGAGCTCAACAGCAGATTTGAGCTCATGTAAAAAGAAGCAGTAAACTAGAAGATAGATCAATTGGAATTATTCAGTCTAAGGAACAAAAAGAAGAAGAATGAAGAAAATTTATTTAAACTGGCAGGACCATGATAATCTGTTACATTAAGAAGGAGGAGCCAAAGGTAGTGGAAGTAAGCCTACAGAAAATAGATGGAAGGTTTTCAAAGGAAAATAAAATAAATACATGTTCACTAAGGTTAATGACAGAGAAATTTCAATAAAGAAGGTATAGGGTAGGTCATTTTTAGAAGTATTTTATCCTCTACACCAATAAGATGAAAAATCTAACAAATAGAAATCATTTAATGAAAACAAGAGAAGTTCTGGAGTGAAAAATTCAATGAATGAAATGAAAAATGCAATAGAGAGCATCAACAGCAGAATAGAACAAACAGAAGATAGAATCAGTGAGTTAGAGGAAAGGAACTTTGAAATAATCCAGCCAGAGGAGAACAAGGATAACAACAAAAAACATAAGAGCAAAAAAAACCTATGTGATCTATTTGATACGACCTAAAGAACCAATATCAGAATCATTGGAGTTCCAGAAGGAGAAGAGAGGGAGAAGGGGGCAGAAAGTTTATGTAAAGAAATAATAGCTGAGAAATCCCCAAGCCTGGAGAGAACTTTGGACATCCAAATTCTTGATGTTAATAGATGACCCCATTATTTCAATTCAAAACAATCTTCTCCAGGACACATTATAATGAAACTGTCAAAAATCAAAGACAGAGACAGAATGCTTAAAAGCAGCAAGAGAAGCAAAGATTGTAACCTATAAAGGAACCCCCATTAGAATATCAGTGGATTTCTCAGCAGAAATATTATAGGCCAGGAGATAATGAAATGATACATAAAAAATGCTGAAAGAAAAAACTTAGCAGCCAAAAATATTTTATTATGTAAAATTATCCTTCAGATATGAAGGAGAAATAAAGGCTTTCCCAGGCAAACAAAAGCTGAGGGAGTTCATCACCACTAGACCTGTCTTATAAGAAATGCTGAAAGAATTTCCTCAAGCTGAAATGTAGACACTAATTAGTAACATAAAAGCATATGAAAATATACAACACACTAGTAAAAATAAATATATGGTCAGATTTAGAAAAATCTAACTCTGTAATATGATGATATGTTAAACACTTAACTAAACTACAAGTTTAAAGGAAAAAAGTATTAAAAATAACTATAGCTCTATAATTTTTTCATTAATACACAATATAAAAAGAGGTAAATTGTGACATCAAAAATGTAAAAGGGGGAAGTGAAAGGTAGAGTTTTTTTTATGTGATCAAACTTAAGTAAAAATGTATTGTTAATTTATAAGCTATTTTATTTAAACCTAATGGCAACCACAAAACAAAAACCATAGTATATTCACAAAAGAGAAAGAGAAAGGAATCAAAGCAAGCACCGCAGAAAATCACGAATTCACAAAGGTACACAGCAAAAGATAAAAAAAGAAAAATGAATCTATAAAACAACAAGAAAGCAATTAATAAGATGGCATTTGTAAGTCATTACATATCAATAATTGCTCTAAATGTAAATGGATTGAGTTCTCCAGTCAAAGACACAGAGCAGCAGTTTGAATGAAATAATAAAACCCAAGTATATACTGCCTATAAGACACTCACTTCAGTTTTAAGGATACACAAAGGCTCAAAGTGAAGGGATGGAAAAAGATATTTCCTGCAGCTGAAAACCAAAAGGAAGCAGGAGTAGCTATGCTTATGTGAGACTAAACAGATTTTAAGCTAAAAACAATAAAAGACAAAGAAGGTCATTACATAATGATAAAGCAGTCACTTCCTCAAGAAGATATAATAATTGTAAATATATATGCACCCAACATTGGAGCACCTATTATATTTAGCAAATACTAACAGATCTGAAGGGAGAAATAGATAACAACACAACACAATAGTAGTAGGAGACTTCAAACTCCAGGCTCAGCAATAGAAAAACATCCCTACAGAAAATCAACATGGAAACATTGGAGCAGAACCATAATTTAGACCAAATGGACATAACAGACATATACAGAACATCCCATCCAACAGCAGCAAAATACTCATTCCTCTCAAGTGTACATGAAACATTATCCAGGATAGATTATTGGATAGATTATTGGATTGGCCACAAAACACATCTTAGCAAATTTAAGAAGATTGAATCGCACTATCATTTCCTACCATGATATTATGAAACTAGAAGTCAACAACAAGAGGAAGGCTGGAAAAATTATAAACATGTGGAAACTAAACAACACACTATGAACAACCAATGGGTCAAAGAAGAAATTAAAAAGGAAATCAAAAATATTTCAAAACAAATAAAAATGAAAACACAGCATACCAAAACCTATGAGATGTTGTAAAAGCAATTCTAAGAGGGACGTTTAAAGAGATAAATGCATATATCAAGAAAAAAGAAAGATCTCAAACAACTTTACACCTCAAGGAACTTGAAAAAGAAGAAAAAAATTCAGCCCAAACTTAGAAGAAGGACAGAAATAACAAAGATCAGGGTAGAAATAAATGGAGCAGAGAACAGAAAAGCTAGGGAAAAATCAATGAAAATAAGAGATAGTTTTTTGAAAAGATAAACAAAATTAACAAATCTTTAGCTAGACTAACAAGGGAAACTAAGGGAAAAAGAACACTCAAACAGATAAAATGAGAAATGAAAAAAAAGACATTACAACTGAGATCACAGAAATACAAAGGATCAAAAGAGATTACTATTAACAACTATAAGCAAAAAAATTGATAAGTTAGAATAAATGGATAAATTCCTACAAACATACAGCTTACTAAGACTGAATCATGAAGAAATAAAAAATCTGAACAGATCAATAATGAGTAAGGAGATTAAATCAGTAATCAAAACTTCCCAACACAGAAAAGCACAGAACCAGATGGTTTCACTGGTGATTCTACCAATCAATTAAAGAAGAATTAATGTCAATACTTCTCAAACTCTTCCAAAAAAATTGAAGAGGAGAGAACACTCTCAAACTCATTTTATGAGGCCAGCCTTACCCTGATACCAAAGCTAGATAAGGACACTACACATAAAGAAAACTGTAGACCAATATCCCTGATGAATATAAATGCAAAAATTCTCAACAAAATATAAACAAACCAAGTTTAATAACACATTAAAAGGATCTTACATTATGATCAAGTGGGATTTATCCCTAGGATGCAAGAATGGTTCAGCACAAAAGAATTAATTATGTGATATACCACATTAATAATATAAAAGATAAAAATCATATGATCATCTCAATAGATGCAGAAAAAGCATTTGACAAAATATAACATCCTTTCATGGTAAAAGCCCTCAACACATTGGGTATAGAAGGTACATAGTATATAATAAGGACTATACAAAATAAACCCACAGCTAATGTCATACTCAACAGTGAAAGGTTGAAAGCTTTTCCTCTAAGATCAGGAACAAGATGAGCATGCTTACTCTCATCACTTCTGTTCAATATAGTACTAGACATCCTAGCTGGAGCAATCAGGCAAGACAAAAAAATAAAAGGCATGCAAATTGGAAAAAAAGGAATAAAATTGTCATTATTTGCATATGATATGGTCTTTTATAGAGAAAATCCTAAAGGCTAAACTGAAAAACTCTTGGAACTAGTTAACAAATTCAGTAAAGTTTCAGGATACAAAATCAACAGAGAAATCAGTTGCATTTCTATACACTAATAATGAAATATTTGCAAAAGAAGTAAAGAAAACAATCCCGTTTATAATAGCATGAGAAACAATAAAATATTTAGGAATAAATTTAACCAAGGAGGTGAAAGTTCTGTTGCAATGAAAATTAAGTCTTTGGTGAAAGAAATGGAAGAAAACACAAACAAAAGGAAAGATATTCTCTGTTCATGAATCAGAAAAATTAATATTGTTAAGATGCCCATACTTATCCAAAGTGATATACAGATTCAATGCAATTCCTGTCAAAATTCCAATGGCATTTTTCACAGAAATAGAAAAAACAATCCTAAAACTTGTATGAAACCACAAAAGACCTGAAGATGCAAAGAAACCTTGAGAAAGAAGAACAAAGCTGATGGCATCATGTTCCATGATTTCAAACGATATTACAATTATAGTACTCAAATGGTGTGGTGTTGGCATAAAAATAGGCACATGAACCAATGGAACAGAATCAAGGGCCCAGAAATAACCCTTCACATATACGGTCAATGAATATTTGACAAGGGAGCCTAGAGTACTCAGTGGAGAAGGATAGTCTCTTTAATAAATGATGCTGGGAAACAAGATATTCACTTGCAGAAAAATGAAATTGGAATCATATATTACACTACTCATAATAATTAACTTGAAATGGATTAAAGACTTAGACATAAAACCTGTAACCATAAAAATCCTAGAAGACATAATAGGTAAAAAGCTCTTTGACATTGGTCTTGGCAACAACTTTTTTGGATATGACACCAAAAGCACAAGCAACAGAAGTAAAAATCAATGAGTGGGACTACATCAAACTTAAAAGCTTCTACACTGCAAAAGAAATGATCAAAAAAATGAAAAGGCAATGTAGGAAATGGGAGAAAATATTTGCAAACCATATATCAGATAGGGGTTAATATCCAAAATATTTAAAGAACTCATGCAACTCCATTAACAAAAAACTACACAATCCAATTTTTAAAAAATGGGCAGAGGAATTGAATAGACATTTTTCCAAAAAATACACCCAAATGGCCAACTGGTACCTGAAAAGTTGCTCAACGTCACTAATCATCAGGGAAATGCAAATCAAAACCATGCGATATCATCTCACACCTGTAAAAATAGCTGTCCTCAAAAAGACATGAGATAAGTGTTGGTGAGAATGTGGAAAAAATGGAACCCTTTGCACTGTTGGTGAGAATGTAAATTGGTCCAGCCACTATGGAAAACAGTATAGAGTTCCTCAAAAAATTAAAAATGGAACTACCATATGATCCAACAATCCCATTTATGGATGTATAGCCAAAGGAAGCAAGAGGTTATTGAAAAGGTATCTGCACTCCTTGTTTATTGCAGCATCATTCTCAATAGGCACGACATGGAAACAACCTAAGTGTCCATCAATGGATAAATGGGTAAAGATGTGGTATATATATGCAATGGAATGTTATTCAGCTGTGAGAAAGAAGGAAATCCTGCCCTTTGTGACAACATGGATGGACCTTGAACATAGTGAGCTGAGTGAGATTTCAGACAGAGAAAGAAATACTGTATGATATCATATATATGTGGAATCTTAAAAAGCCAAACTTGTAGAAACAGAGAGTAGAATGGTGGTTACTAGGGGCTGGGGAGTGGAGGAAATGGGGAGATGTTAGTCAAAGGGTACAAATTTGCAGTTAGAAGATAAATCCTGGAGATCTAATGCGTAGTACTATGATTACAGTCAATAATACTGTATTTTATATCTCAAAGTCACTAAGACCTAGGTCTTAAATGTTCTCACCACAAAAAAGAAATGATAAATATATAATATAATGGAGACAGTAGCTAACACGATGGTGGTAATCATATTGTAATATATAAATGTATCAAATGAACACGTTGTACTATTTAACTTACACAATATTATATGTCAATTATATCTCAATAAAAAGAAAAAGTGAGATAATATATGTAAAACAGGTAAAAAAAAGTTGGATCATGTCATGATTGAAATGTAATGAAATGCCCTTTTTTGAGACTATGTCTGTGTTTATAAATATCCTTGTTCTTATAATTACCATTATATCAGTGTTTCTCAAAATGGTGAGAAATCACAGAATGGCAGACAATATATTTGCCGACCTTTGTTACAAGAAACACTGTATTAAAATTCAATGGCTTTTATTTTGAGTCTAAACCCAACACAAACTCTGGTTAAAAAATCGAGTTAAACAATAGGTTATAATTTAAGCATATTAAGGATCCATAGTATATTAATTTCTCATGGTAAACTTGCAGACCACAGAAAACATGCCCATATACTCTCTAAGCTTATATATCTCCAGGGAGATATTTCTTAGAAACTTATAATTTAAGTAGGTACTCAAGTCTCCAACTATACATAAGAATGCCTCAAGGAGTAAAAAGGCCTTCAAATAAAGGAAGCAGTGAGGAAGAAAGAAGAAATAAATTGAAGCACAGGATCATAGAAAGAAAAAGATAGGAAGCAGAACCTAGAGAAATTCTCAGAGCTCCTGGAACACCTGGGTACAATAAGAAGGTAAGGAGTTGGTAAGAATACTGAACAGGAATATGAAAGGAAATATCCTAGGTGTTCTTGCTTTTCTATTTATCGTAGAGATTATTACTTGCTGGGGACTAAATGTTTCTCTACAAAATTAGTTTGTAAAAATTTTGATATGATTTATATTTTCATAAAAATCCATTGAGAATTTAATAATGCAAGTCTTCATGTTTTCAAATAAAACAATCCACATGTTTGATTATGATCATTTTTTTGTTTACTTCTTGGGTAAATCAAACATTGCACATTAACAGTCAACACACCAATTAACAAGTCAACATATCAATTTGCATACCCTTTCCCAATTTATAATTGTTGCTCCTTTCATCCACATAGCAATAGCCAGTGTCTCCTTTGCCTATCCTCTGGGTAAGAGTCCCTGAATTCCATGACAACTTTTTTTTGGTACAACTTTTTAAAATGCACCTCCTCATACCTCCTGTGTGTTCCCTGTTTTTTGATGTATTTTCCTCATTTGCCTCTGAACTATACTGGCATTACGCGTTGCCTCAAGGAAGTCCATATCAACAACAACAAAATATGTGTGTGTGTGTGCACGTATGTGTATAAAATGAATATTTATATTTTTATTTTATATTTATATTTATATTTTTGTGAACTGATTGAGGGAGGCCATCTGTTTTTTCTCTCTGACAGTAGAACTTGGCATTGATGGCTTCTTATCAACAGGTTAGATTTGTTGGAGAAGGTTAATTAGAGGACAAAAACAGTGACCATGGTCGTTGGAAGGAAAAGTTAATTATTCAAATAACCTAATATATGTATATTTCATTCCTTTTGCACAGAATCACAGTAAGTCACAGAAAATATAATATCTGAGTTTTGTATTTCATATTGTTTGTCAAAGATAAATTCTCTAAGTGCAAGCATAAGAGATTTAGCAAAAGATGACAGAAGTTAAACACAGGATTGTTTCTGTACAAGAATCACATTATAAATTTTTATAAAAACGAGAAATTAAACTATATAATCATATATGTATTGTTGATATGTTTAGTGGATATCATTCACTTGTATTCAATTTAGTGTAGGCTATATATTTGGAAGATTTTTGTTCTTTCAGATACTTATTAAAAGAGAAACATGAAAAATGATCTGGAACTAAGACATAAAGGTAGCAACTTCACAAAGAGGAATGAATCATTGCACATTCAACAATGGATCTCATCAAAATTGTTCTTAGCATCACATACTTTACATTCAATGGTCAATCTATGAACAAACTAGTGACTGAGCGATGGGTTCCCCATCTCATTTATCACAGCAGAACTATATCTTTCACATTTCAAGAAAATTACAGAAAATAAAACTGCAATAAAACCAAAAAGCTGGAAACAGAGATGACACCCATGACAACATTAAAAAAAGGATACTGAAGATGTGCAGCCATCCGCTCAACTTACAATTAATGCAGCACAAGATCAATGTCTGACGTTTTGTGGTGCAATATCTGACTGAACCTGAAACAGGACCCAATGGGAATGCATCAAAGACATGAACAAATGCACACCAAAATAGAGTTCATTATTAATTATAACTGATATATATATCTCAGTTATATACATATATATATTTCCCTGTGGCTAAACCTTAAATTCAATGCAAATATGTAAATATAAAATATTTGCTAATGTCACCCATTGCTGAGATGAATCTATGATTTAGATCTGAGCTAATACAATGCGGTTCTCTCAAGGTGCTTATTCTTGGCTATAATCCTTCCTCATCTGGGAGATTTCAACTAGGTAGACTTGTCCTACCTAGCTATTGAAACCAAAAAGTTCAGATTAAGTGTTTGTGTATGTATATGCTTAGAGGAGAATAGGGGCAGATAAAAACAGGGTGAAGGAGGTGTATCATTAAAGATAAACCTAAATCATTAGAATGTCCTAGTTATACTCTAAAAACTAGTGTAACCTATACTCTTGCAATCCTATATGTCAATCATCTTCAAAATGGGAATAACTGAGGCCCAGAGAGCAGGAAAAGACAAATTTTAGGATTTCCATTCATATTTTACCTTATACCTATTCAGCTTACATTTTCTTACAAAATGTATTAATATTGCAGAAAATAGAATTTTTAAATTAATACTAGTCCATATATTGACAGGGTATATGCAATTATATTTTAGTTTGGGGATCATTGCCAGACTTTACCAATTGGCCTGTATCTGACACCACTCACAGCAGGCAGGTAGCAGACAGACATAGATTTCCTTCCAAGAGAAATATTCATAGTCAACAAGTTGTATTAGAACAATGGATATGGACTCACAACTCAATGGATAGATGCTTATCACTGATAAGGATATAGTGAATCTGATTTGATTCCCTGTTGCTGATTTTTGAAGGTCTAGTTTCTAAATTTGTACTACAGGTCTAAATTGTAATCTAAGAAATTCAAATTATGCAATTCATGGTAATGGTGAGGATAGTGAAAATTTTTTGTCTGCTTATTCTTAAGAAATCACTATAAAGTATTAAAGACAAGAAAAATCTTAGAATGAGATATCTGGTTCCTGTGACTGTGAATTTGTGTTCATAAAGCATATAACTAATAGATAAACACCTGTAGCTTATTTGGAACTATATACAAAATATAATTTGTACAAAATTTGTACAAAAGTTAACATTTATATGATATATTTAGGCGACATATTACTAAAAAAGTTAACTTAAAAAAGAATGCAACTTTTCATGGTTTTACTTTTACCTTAAAAATGAGAAACTACTGGACTCCATATCAAGATGGCTGAGTAGGAAGATCTCTAACTCACATCATCTCATGAAGGCACCAAAACTGCAACTACATATAGAGCAACTATCGCTGAAAATGACCTGAAGACCAGCAGAACAGATTTTTCACAACTAAGGATATATAGAAAACCCACATCAG